TATCTGCCACAAGGCAAGAACAACCACACCCTAAACCCTAGAATCCCTAAACTCCAGACCTAACCCTAAACCCTAAACCCTAAACTCCATGTCCTATAAACCCCAAAGCTCAAGAACCCTCTGGCAGCCTCTGGGGCCACTACAAAAAGGTTTAGGGTTCAGGGTTTGGGGTTCAGGGGTTTAGGGTTTAGGGTTTAGGGTAATATAGAAACCTAAAGAATTACCAATATTACTGTTAGGGTTCCTTCTTATGATAATACAAACTAAGGAACCCTGCAAGGGGAAGTTAAAGGGTAGGGTAGTCATTACTTGGAGGGTCGGGGGACTTTGCAAGTAGGTAATAAGTAGAGCTATAAGCCCCTAAACCCTAAACCCTAATTTGGGGCTATGGTACTTATAAGTCTGTAAAATAACTAGTTACTAAGTCCCCAGACCTTCTAAGTATGGGGTGTATGAACCTAAGGACGAAAAGAGCCCTAAAAGGGCTATTTTAAGGTTCATATGCAATTTGTAGGATTCACCCTAAACCCTAAACCCTAAACCCTAAACCCTAAACCCTAACCCTAAACCCTAAACCCTAAACCCTAAACAGTATAAGGGTATAAGGCCCCGACTGTTGGAGTTCTTTTCGTTTTTTAAGGTAATGTCCCGCAGATAGGTGCTTGGGATCGTTTGCGCAGCCATCCCAACACTTCCCCCAACCCTAATGTAGGGGCCTAAATAATTACCTACACTATTTTTTTGGGGGGGGTTCTTAAACCCTAAACCCTAAACCCTAAACCCTAAACCCTTATTATACTTGTAGTATAATATACCCCAAGACCTGCACCAAGACCCTATTCCAATCATGAAGGCCCCTATACTAAACCCTGAACCCTGAACCTCCACTTGCGGTAGAGGAAGACCTGCGTGTGGCCCTGCAGAAGGCGCCCGAGGGCTTTGCTCGTTATGTTTTGATCGTAGTGTTTAGGCCCCTAAACCCTAAACCCTGAACCCTTAGGCTTTGAGTGTTAGGGTTTTGCGTTTAGGGGTTTAGGATTTAGTGTTCAGGGTTTAATGTTCAGGGTTTAAGGTTTCGGGTTTAAGGTTTCGGGTTTAGAGTTTAGGATGCAGGGCAATACAATATGTAAAGACCTGTAGCCCAAAATCCGACATAGGGTTCCTTACTATGATTTCTGTCTGTAACTCTTAATTTGAGAACATAGTTTTGTTTTAGGAGGCGTGTTCATAAAAATCCTGGTGGCATTCTGTATGTCTATAGTATCTATCTACCTACACATATATATATATATATACACACCATATATATATATATATGTATACACACCAAAGCACAAGAGATATCATCTCCCTGTAGATGTA